TCCTTGCCGTGTGCTAGCCCGGTCAGGGGAGCTTGGAGCCTGTGCGGGCAGTCCAGGCAGGGAAACCTCTGCTCTGCTTCCCTGCTGATAACTCGGGAGGGTGACAGCCTGCCTTTCTTTACTGTAGGTTTATTTTTATTGCAATTGAAGAACAGTTTATTTTAACCCCTGTGGTGCAAACAGGTCCCAAGGGGAGCTCCTCGGGGGGGGCGTGGGGCGTGGGCACGCTCCTGCGGGTCCTGTTGCAGGAGGCCGTCGGAGGGGCGTTTGCCGCACAGGCAAGGCATGCGGTGTGTGCTGCTCTGCTGGGAGCCGAGGTGAATCGGGTGGGATCAAAATACACACGGAAATAAAAATACCCTGCCTGCAAGAGCAGCTGGAGTGCCTGGGGTGAGCATGGACCCAGAGCAAAGAGGGGCAGCCTTGGAAAATGAACAGCTTGGCGTGTCGGCATGTGCCTGATCCTCAGTTTTCATGGAAATTGCCTGTGGGAGGTGAGTTTTCCCTTGCAAGCTCTTGGACAGGGCCGTCTTGCCAAGCCGAGCAAGCGCAGCGTGTTCTCGTGGCTCGCCGAGGGGCTGCGCTGGTACCCATGGGTGTCATTTGGGACCTCCTGCCGTGCTGGTGGAGTAGGGAGCTGCTTGGGCGAACCCGTGATTCATGGCCCATCATCCCAGGAGGAGGCGGTGAGACTGAATCAGTGAATCAGTGGTGCCTGAGGACACGTGCGGGTGAGGGAACGTGAGCGTGGGCGGCCCCTTGTTTTCTCTGGCGTCTTCCTTCCTTCCGCACACCCACCCACCTTCGCTGCGCTTGGTGTGAGATGATGGGGGGGAAATTCAGCTCAACATGGTGCTGAGCGAACAGGACAGATCCCCCAGCCCTTTCATTTGAATCTCATTTTAGATGACCGTGGGGAGCGGCAGGGCTGGCTGGAGCCCGCTCGGTTTGCAGCCCCGTTTCTCGCACCGTGGAGGTGGCTTGCCCAGGTTTGGGTTTGCTGGGTGAGTGCCGTCCCCCTGCAGACACCCTGATGAGCTGTTTTGTTTTCTGGAGCTGCTTCCAAGGTTTGTCTTTCAAAGGTGATGAAAAACCTGGAGCTGCTGTGGGAGCCCGGGAGGAGCCTTTGCTGCCAGGGGGGGTCCCAAGCACATAGGGGCAGGGGCCGGGCTGTGCCGACCGCTGCCGGGGCTGGCTTCGGAGCCCTCAGCTTGAGAGCTTTAGTGAAGCTAATGAGTGTGTTTAGCTTTGCACATAACTAATTTCTCTTGCAGCATGTAATGGCTCCTGGGGGAGCTGGGCTGAGCCAAGGCACAGGACGGCAGCAAGCGCCGTCTGCCGAAGTCTCGGAGGTGTCAAGCTGCTGCGAGGAGAGCTGAAATGCGACTGAAAGCTGAATTTCCTCCCTAACTGCGATGAGGGCGGAGTGGCCCTTTCCCTGCTCTCCCTCCTTTCCTGCGGGCAGGTGCCCCAGTGGGAAGCGGAGACGGGACGGTGCAGGGCTCTGGGGTGGCACAGCTCTCCCAGCTGTCCCCTGTCCCACACAGTGTCAAAGGGACACCTGGACATGGAGATGTGCTTTCGTGATGAGAGGAGGTTCGGAGATCCATGCCAGCTGCAAAGCTAACGTCTAAAGCACCCAACCTGTAAAGGGAAACACACGCAGCTCCTCTGTGAGTGAAACCTTGTTTGGCTCAGAGGCGGTGGCTGAGCCCCCTCCGCGGCGCTGCCCTTGCCCCTTGTCCTGGGGACGCTTGTGTAACACGGGGATCCGGTTACTGCCCGCTGCGGTGCCCGGGCTGCTGGGCTTGGCTGCCGCCCCGGTGCTGGAGCCCTCTGCTCCGGTGAGAGCCGAGCAGGTATTGCAACGCTTCCCATCTGAAATCATGCAGAGTTTGATCTCTAAGGAGCTTTCTGTTGGAAGGGGAACAGGAGATAAGAGATGGAAAAGCTTAACTGAGAGCAGCTGTGGGCTGTTGGGGGTTTCCAGTGGATTGTCTGTCTGCTGCCATCTCCCCTCTGCCAAGGGTTAGCTCTGGGTTGTGCTCTGGATTACTGTGGTTGCAAAATCGCCTGCTTCTGAAGCTGCTCTGAAGCCAGTGGCAGGGCACAGTGTCCCCAGGCTGGTACCCTCAGCTGGGGTGGGATGGAGGCAGCTCACCCTTGCTGAACCTCAGGGAAACACGAGGTGCTTTTCCCATTCCAGCCTCTTCGTTGCAAGCCAAGAAATATAAATCTTTCTGCCCTGGATACCAGAGCTAAATTAGGGACCTGGGCAGTGTTACCACACACACCCAAATACATTTGATGGAGTTCCCGTGACCGGAGCAACGCCTGTCACACCAGGATGTCACCCACCGGTGGTTTCACTGCTGGCTGTGGCCGAGGAGCGGAGGAGGGAGCGGGAGGGAAAGTCATTGGCTGCGGGAGCTGTCGGCTGCTGCCTGAAGAGGAGAAACCGGTGGAAGCGCTGCCCTTGCCCCTGCCTGCTCCAGGAGCAAACGGTGCTTTCCCACCCCTGCACCATGCTCGGCACGTCCGCAGCTGCGTGGGGTGCAGGGAGCCGGTGCTTTGTGCCAAAGCAGGACAGAGGTTGTGTGGGTGCAGTGGGTGATGCTGGGCCTGTGGTTTGCTTCTGCCATGGTTTAGGTGTCGCCGTGTCCCTCCTGCATCCCCCTGCAGCGGTAATGGCCTTCCCCACACAGCCTCATTGCATCTGGCCTTCACTCCCCATCATGCCGCTGTCACCTGCCACTGGGAACATTTCCTAAATAGACCAAATCATCCTTCTAACGAGGCTTAATCTGCTGCTCTCTCAGCCGGGCGAGCAGCCTCTCCATCACCTCTGCATCCCGCAGCTGGCAGGGGAGTGGAGGGAGGCCGGCTGGTGGTGCGGCTGAATTGCAGCCAGGGCGTTTTGAGAGCGCCAGGGCAGCTGTTTGCTCGCCCGCAGGTGCCCGAGTACAAAAGCAAACGTCAGGGCTGTGCTGGTACAGGTAATGGAGGCTGCTGCCTTCTAGTTCATTAGAAATACAATTAAGCTCCTTTAAAAGCGCTCTGAGTGACCTCTAAAAATTGGATATATATTTCTGTACATCTCCTGTTTGTCTTGTGCAGAATGATGTTAACAGTCTGCTTCCTGCTGTTCAATTTTCCTGGCGTGTAATTACAAATTGTTCTTTTTCCCTTCGGCTTCCTGGCTCCCCGTGCCAGGCTCTTCGGAGCAGAGCTGCAAGTAACCCAGCTTTTCTCCAGGCCCTTTCCCTGGATGTGCGGCTGCTGGGGGGCTGGTGCTGCACTTGCTTACGGCTTCGGCAGGATCCGGTTTTTAGGGTAATTAAGCAACAGAGGAGCAAGGAGGGGCTGTCCAGCCTCCTGCCCTGTCTTCCTTTCGCCTTGAGGCTGTTGGTGCAAATGATGTCAAACGGTTGTGCAAAGGGCAGCTTGGCCACTTCGGTCTTCACTGAGCTTCCAGATGGTTTGATGGCAGAAGCCACCCCGCTCCCCGTCCACCGGGGCGGGTTTCCTGCGCCTCGGGAAGCAGGAGAGCCGAGGAGGTGGGAGAGGTGTGACCAGACACCCGAGTATCAGGGTTACGGGTGGGTGGCCGAAGGGCGCGTCCTATTTGTCCCTTTCCCTGTGGCAAAGGGCAGGCGCTGTTGCAGGCA